GTTACCTTACAAAGTCGGTTAAGATAGTATGAGTTTGCTTTCCTGCTCCTCACCCATATTATATTGATTTGGTAGGTTGCTAAGTGAGGTTGCACAGATCTGTAAATAGCTTAAGGGCCACCAGTGGGGCTATTGCTTGTTCGTACCATTGCACCCACTATAAACCTTGCCAGCATGCTGGTGCTGACCAGCCTGGGCAAGTAATTACATGTTAGCTATAATTGAAGTAGGGAAATGTAAATCAGATTACACTGGTGTCTTTCTCTTGCCTGAACCAGTTAAAAGATTGATGAAGGATAGCTTTTCATCCAGAAGCCAAGTTGTGATTTGGTACCCTCAAGTGTTCTGAAACACATGCTGCACCTTCAGGAAGTTTTGTCAGAAGATTTGCACATGTTTAGTATTTTTCAAAATGTCAACATGTCCTAAAGCACGGGACTTGTATTACTGAAATGTAATTACCACTTCAGTGTAAAAAAAGGTGGCAACTAATTTTCACATAGCAATATACTACAAACAGCAATAGAATCATGACCAGATAGGCTTTTCAAGGTTGTGTGAGCAACAATGTCCTGGGGATCCTTTACATCCACTGAGAAGGGTGAGTTAACATCTTGTCCAAAAGACAGCAGTTCTAACAATGTATTTTTTCCCTTAGTATTGCCATAAAATCCCAGCCTAGATTTTGTGCTGCGGTCTCTGGAGTGTGACTTTATCAAAGATTATATTTAGAACCTTTCCTGACAAAGGGACACAATGTGTGTTCCCTGTGTAGATGCTGTCTGCCTTGAATATTTCCAGTGTTTGATTTGTTCACATTTCTAGGATCTGCAGGATATGTACATAGTTCACAGATTGTGGGCATTGCTGACTACGCCGTGTTTATTTGCAAACTCTAATTGTTTTTGAAAAGGTGGCGGTGGTGAGTTGCCCTCTTGAGTGATTGCAGTACATGAGTTGTATAGCCACAGTGTTGTAAGGAAGAAAGCTCTTGGATCTTGACCCAGTGACATTGGAGAAACAGTATGTACGTAGTTCCACACCAGGATGGTAGAGGTTGTGGGTATGGAAGGTGCTGCTAAGGGAGCCTTGGTAAGATTCTGTTGTGCATACTGCTGCCCCAGCACTGGGGGTGAAGGGAGTGAGTGATGAAGTTCATGGTTCTGAGGTCATTCACGTTAGCTTCTTTGACTCTGGTGTCGACCTGGAGCTGTATGGATCCCATGCAAGTAGAGAATGTTCCATCAAACCTCTGACTTGTGCCGTTTGTATGATGGACAGGATTTGGGGAGTCCTGTAGTGACACTCACTATAAGAGCTCCTAGCCTGTGCGTGTGTTTCTGTACTTATGTTCAGAGCTGTTCTATCTTCTGTTTACAGGATGTGGTTGGATTGCATGTACTTGAAAATGTTTTCCATAACATTTTTAAATGGCTTTCAGGAAATGATCCCATATACTGTATTGAACAAAGAATTGCATATATCTGGATGCTTAAAAGTGCCATGTGTTATCAAAAATTGTCTTAAATGACGTCAGTTTTATACTGTGCGTGTCTCTAAAACTGATGTATAAAGTCCACCCAAACGGACATCTGAATTTTTCAATTGTAGTTAGCCTAGAATGATTAATTTTATACTTCATTTATCATTTTAGATAAGTTTCCTAGTTTGTATCTTGTATGTGACCTAAAATAATCATCTTGGCTAAATTGTAAATCTGCTAATTAAAAGCTTAAATGGGCAATTTATTATTATTATTATTATTATTATTATTATTATTATTATTATTATAATAAATCTGTATGTAGTCACGACCGTATAAGACAGTGTGTGGTTGTTGAAAATGTTTGGAAAAATAAATCCTCAGGCAGTTGGTAATTCTCTCACTTCATTGTGAACTTTAAGCTTTTGGATGTTAACAATTTCAGTGCTGCCATTTGAACTCCATTGATGCAAGCATCAGTCGTGCCTTTAGGGATGCAGAGGAAAACTTCCCTTGCCTCTCAACAGCACCCTCTGCTGCATCACTGTGAGATTTTTCACTTAAAACGTCACTTACTCCTGAAATCCTTCTGAGTGAGAGAGCAGAATTTTCACCCAGATATGCAGGCAGGTAGGTGCATCATTTCTCGCTGCCTATTGACAACGAGATTCTCTGGCAGTATCCTCCCTGCAGACAGTTTTCCCGGAGTTTGAAGGATTACCGTTCTGCTAACGGCAGTTTGCCCATTTAAACCAATGTGAAGACCCTTTAAAGCAAACCTCTGAATACCGACTGGAATTTTGCCTGGGAGCTGTGCATTTGTCTGGAAGCAGCCTCCCTGTGACAGATTGGAGTTCTAGCATTCCCTGCAGGCTTTGGGGCCTTCCTGCCTTGGCCATAGGCTGCTCTGCTGTGGTTGCCTGGCAGCTCTGGCTGTTTTTTTTTAATTTCAATCTTTTTGGAAGTCCCTGAGAGTGAGAATCAAAGTGGAAATTCCCTATCCATGTCATGCCTAAACAGCTGGCTGCTCCTCCAGCTCAGATGGAGGGCCTCCCAATTGTCCTGCAACTTCAACAGCCTACCCATTGTCCTTAACTGGACACAAAATTACCAATTTTTGGACCATCACTCTTGGGTGACTGTTCGTAACACTGTGTGCAATGATCCCCATTTGACTCTGCAATGCAAATTCCTCCCCGAGAATCTTGGTTTTGCAAGGTAGACCTGTTTGAAACCTTTACCAATGACAGAGAGAGGTGATATTCACCCCTCAGTTCAGGCTGAATTTTCATCCAAGTTGGCAAAGATATTTCATTTTGCCCTGCCCAAAGTGACAAATTTTGCTTTCTTTAAAACTAAATGTAGTGTTTTTTTTGGCAGTAATTTTTATTAGCACAATCTTGGTGGTAATGTGGTTGCTCAGAGAACAAGTGCTCTTATTTAATGCACCTTTTCCTATAATTTCTGTCTTCGGGTTGCATGTTCAGCTTGTTATCAGTTTCTGATGGAGGTTCAAAACAAAAAAAAATCTTTTAATCCTGGGGTTCCTAATGGATGTTTCATGGTGGATAATCTTGTGCAGCTTTTACAAATGCAATCCTAAGAATGTGACCTAAAGCAAGATCATCTTCTATAAATTTCACCAGCCTGGTTTTTTAATGTGCAATATGTAGAAATATTTATGAATGTCTTTGTCTTTGACTTTCAGTGTCTATGATTGAATTCTTCATGCTGACTAACAAATATTCTGAAGAACTCTGAGACCTGTACTAAATCAGTGCACGGAGCAGCTAGATGCATAATCCATGTCGCCTAACTAAATCCTGGTTAAGCCTATTGTTTGTGAGGACCTGACTTTGACAGTCAGAACAGCGTGAATGTTTCTGTGTGGAACCAGCTGCTTATAAGCTTTGGCTGATCCTTTTGTTCTTCCCATCTGTTCCAGAAAAGGAATTTTTGTGTTTTATTCCATTAAAACTTGGTAAAACGATCATATCTTACAAGTGATCATGATTTATGGCTTTGTCATTGGTGAATTATGACCTTCCTTTAATTTTGAGGTAATGGATCTCATTGTGTCATATTGGTGTGCTATTTCTGTGCTTGAAAGATTCCACATGGAATCTCTTAATGAGCAAATTCCCTCACTGGACTCATTTTAAAAGTTATATGATGAGGGCTCCTTTAGTCGCTTAAGTGAATAAGACATTGAACAGACATTCATACAGACTAGGCAGGTTGCAGATTTGCTGCTGATTTTTTACATGAGTATATTTCTCTTTTTTTTTTATTCTAGTCACTATTTTCCCCTAAACAGAATCACAAATATGGATGATCTAGTTATTTAACTCTTTACTGTTTGTGATGCAAATTTGTTAACTGTATTTCCTTATAGCACAACAGCGATTGCACTGTAAAAGTACTGAACTGGTTGTGAGGAGTTTTGTGACATTACAAAGTTGTGAAAGACACTATAAATTCAGTTCTGAAGAAGTGTCATATTAGATTTGAAACATTAACTCAGTTTTCCTCTCCACAGATGCTGCCAGACCCACTTGAGTTTCTCCAGCACTATTTTTATTTCTGATTTTCAGCATCAGTATTATTTTGCTTTGCCTGACTGTATAAATGCAACTCCTCCTGTATTGTAACACTCATTTTTACGCGCTCTGGTCATGGTTTTGTTTGGACAATTGACTGGGGCAGGTGGGACTTGAACCCAGATCTTTAGGCCTAGAGGAAGGGGCACAACCACTGCATCACAAGAGCCACAAAATTGCATCATGTTTACATTTCTTTCAAATTCCATACCACAGTGAAACTGTAACACTACCTTGAACTGCTGGATACTAGCCCAGTGACCCTCACCTATTGTTGTTCAATTCTCTACATTAGCGTTTGGCTGCTTGATGATTAGCCTAAGATGATTTTTAGTGAATCTGACCAGTAGGCTAGAGGTGATGCCTTCATCGACCATTTCATTAAATTATGCCTAAAGTGTGGCAACTCCAATGTTTGTCGGTCCGGTGCAGGTGCCAGCAAGGTAGTGGAGGTCTCCTTCAGTTACTGGAGGCTAGTTACTGGCGTGGACTGGGTCAGAAAGGCTGTTATTCTGAGCTTTTTATTCATTCATCTTATTAATTTATGCCAATGATTTGAAATGTTGGACTTTGTTTCTTTTTTTTTCTAATTTTCTTTACCCCAAGAATTTGTTCTTAAAAATCTGCCCCTAAGTACCTTTGTACCTAAGATGGCACTGTAATGTGGCGACTTATGAACTTTTCACTGTATTACTTAAGTAAATGTGACAATACAGCTAATTCAAATTCAAATAAAATGATGGATACTTTGTTCATGCTGTTATTTATGAGAGTATTTTTATTGGCTAAAATGTTTGTTACTGTACTGTTTCAGGCCCAAACATTTGAACAATTGGAATAATTTTTGATTTTCATTTTTGCTTTAATATTACTCTTGTAGTTCCATTCATGTAACTTTATGCTACTTCATATTTCAGGTAAGCCCGGTGATACACTTAAACTGAGATGACAGCAACTGCACTGCGGATAGGGGACCAATTAATCCTAGAAGAGGATTATGATGAGAATTACATTCCAAATGAACAAGGTATTTGAACATGGGTTTACTTTGTATCTGTATTTGTTAGTTGATTTTGAGTGTTGGACAAAGGCTCATTGCATAGGCAATTTGTATGCAATGACCCTTTGCAGCAATGAGGAGGCCTAAGGCTGATTTGAAACTGAAGCTTGAGCTTCAATAACTATTTAGGTATGAGTGTCTGGTGCCTCCCCAGACAGCTTGGGCATTGAAGACTATAAATGGTGGTACTGCTTGCTGCTTTGGGAGTGGCCTGAAGTTTAATTTCTTTGATTAATTTGCAGCAGGCAACAGCGTTCATTTGCTGGGTTGGGAAAGGAGAAATTTTGACCAGGTCAGGCATTTACTTTCTGCTGTCCTCTGTGTAGAAGAAAACTGCCATTTCTTTTTAAAAGAAAGCTTGCCTTTTGCTGGTGGCTTCAGCAGCAGTTGATCAATGCTGAGTGCAATAGAGTACAAACTGTTCCACCCATCAAAGGTTTTCCGGTGGGCTTCCTTGAACAGGCAGTTGGATCCCAATGAACATGTAGAGAGACTGCAACACCTAAAATTTGGTCCCAATGAATTTAGCATTAGCCCAATGCTCATGCAGATATGGTAACGACCACTCCACTTAGAGTCATAGAGCTCTACAGCATAGAAACAGATGTTTCGGTCCAACTCGTCCATGCTGAGCAGATGTCCTGAATTAATCTAGTCCCATTTTCTGGCATTTGGTCCATATCTCCCTAAAGCCATCCTATTCATATAATCATCCAGATACAATTGCAAAATTTAAAATGCATCAGCCTCCACACCACTTCCCCTGGCAGCTCATTCCATACATGCACCACCCTCTGCATGAAAAAGTTGTCCCTCAGATCCTTTTTAAATTTTTCCCCTCTCACCTTAAACCAGTGACCTGTGGTTTTTGACACCTGTACCCTGGGAAAATGACCTTGGTTATTCACCTTATCCATGTCCCTCAATATTTATAAATCTCTATAAGGTCACCCCTCAGCCCCTGACGCACAGGGAAAATAGCCCCAGCCTATTCAGCCTCTCTGGAAAGCTCAAACCCTCTAAAGTCCTTGTAAATCTTTTCTGAACCCTTTCAAGTTTCACATCTTCCCTAAAGCAGGGAGACCAGAATTGAACGTAGTATTCCAAAAGTGGCTTAACCAGTGTTCTGCACACATGAGAAATTGACACAGTGCACAACAACGTCAAACCACAAGTTTAACTAGTTCACCTTTCATATGGGAGTCCGCATGATGAAACAGTAGTGGAGCGTTGTATTTGATTGCCATGATTAAATCCTGTTAGTTTACAACAGATCCTGACTTGAGTCAGGGAAGAAATCCAATGAGTGAGATTTTTGGGCACCATGGATCCAAAATCACTTGTTCCTTCCAAACATGGTACATTTAGAGCATGCCATGCCTCAAATTACTCATACACTAGATCTCAAAATGTATTTTTTAGAAATAAATCTATCAAATTGGCATTTTAATGAATTAATGATATTGCTTGCACAGTCACTTCCTGGAAGACTGTTTCATCAATTTACCACTCACTCTGATTACCCTTTTCTGCTTCCTTTAAATATCTGAAATACTCTGTTTAACTGAGCTGACCAGAAAGATGCGCAATATTATTACCAGTTTCGCCAATGATTCATAAGGTGGCAGGATTTGTCTTACTATTTCAACTCCCTGTTGACCTTATAATAGATGTCAGCTTCTGAATTGTTTTTTGCTTTTGATGGTGTTGATTGAAGGGTCACACTGGCCAGTACAGCTGCTTTATCCCTACCATCCATATTCATGAGAAAGACCTGTCAAATGCATCAAAGTATTTGTCTCTTGAACACGTGATAGAAAAACACCCAGGATGAGGTTATTCAGGTTGGAGCAAAAGGCAGCTGGGCTTGTGGCTTAATAAATTCAGAATTTATTGTTTAAATCTCAGTGGAGCAGCGAGAGGCTCAATTAAATAAATGGCATTCTGCCAGATGGGTGCCTTCTAGATCAAGTTTTACAACTTAACAGTCACTGAAGCAGCCACTGATAAGTTATGGCCTTAAAATAGCAATCTACTGCTCCTGTGCTTTCAGAGCAAGTCCCTGTATAAACCAATGAGGCTGGTAAATTGTAGTTTTTTATGTGGGTAACTTGTCAGCAACTGGTCTACTAGTTTTGCACATTGTAAAAATTGGTTTGAAATGTGCCGTGGTCAACTGAATGCAGTTCTACAAACAGGTAATTTATCACTTTTCTGCACCCACTGTATTTTTATTGAAAAAAGGAAGATTAAAACCATAGATGGATTCAAGTGGGGGACAGGGCAAGGAAAATAAAACTCTAGCTCTGTGATTCATGAAACCAGTAAATTGAAATCTTGAGCTGATAGACAAAAGTCAACAGTTAACAGTTGTAAGCTTGCTTATGTGTAGTGTTCTCATCACTTAAGGTTGAAGTTTGTAGGTTCCAGCATTATTCAAGAATTGATGCACGTTTCAGTGCTTAGTAAGGGAGGCCTGCATTGCAAAAGATCCTATGACACAATTTTAAGGAGCAGTGACAAGTTCTCCAGTATCACGAAAGATTAGACAAATGGTTTTGGGGGGGATTGGTGGCAGATGGAATTCAGCATGGTTGAATTTAAAATCACAAAATGACATAGAAGCAAGATAGTGAATTACATATAAAACAAATTACATATAAAACAGTTACAGGTTGGAAATTACAGCACATGAATGAATTGTCTGGTTGTTTTTGTAGACATATCCTTAAAAATGATGGTTCGATGTTTGTAGCCAGTGAAGACAGCAAAATTAAGTATTGCTATATGTATGTGTAATAAAGTAATGCTGAAGTTCTTGATATCCTGGTTGGTACCATACCTGGAAGATTATGTGGAAAATCTGCTTATTACAGAAAATATGAAGGATTAATGGATTGAGTCCCAAGGAGGTCTTTAAGATTTACAACTGCGGAAAGCTGAGTTATGAAGTGATTCACTTTTGGACTTTGCTATTTGGAGAAAAAAAATCTTGATTAAAAAGCTGCATAAGATGTTAAATAGTTTGGAGAATTTGGATTCAGGACAGCTATGCTATTGAGCCTTAGGTTTGAAGACTAGGAAATACAATCACAGTGGCAGTTCTTTTTTTAAGATTAAGACCCGAATAATGCTTGAATAATAACAATGTGAGTTCAGAGTAATAGTGAGGAATCTTACTCCCATCAGACAGGACTAGACTAGGTAGCGAATGATTTTCTCAAGTATAAAACATTTATTATAATGCTGAAAGTTGGAGTGTTGAATGTCTATTCAACATAGGTACCTCAGTTAAATATTGCAATCTACAAATTAGATAATAGATCTTTTGAGTGTTATAATTTCTATTTTGGGTTTGAAGTACTTGGTTGATTAACGGTTATTCTACTGACCAGATTTAATCTGGGGTTGCAATGCATAGTAACTGACCAGTTCAGTAGCATTTGTATCCTATATATGGCCCTTTTCCCATTAAAATCATAATTGCTTGAATGAAAATCTCCCAGATGCTTTTTGTGCAAATAAAATATGGTGAAATATAATGCAGTGACATCAAACATAACATGAGCGTTGCAAAACCTGAGACAACATCTGACATTGTTCATTTTTATTGCATGTTCTTGCATTCGGTGCTGTTTATATTAAACAGCATCCTAGTGATTTGGGAAAAAAAAATTGTGGCAATATTTAACTCATCACAAATTAGGTTTGCAGAGTCTGCAAGATTGTTCTCCAGACTGGAGTAAATAAACAGGGATGGGGTGTGGGGGAAATCACAGGGGTGTGTGTTTTGTTTTCCTTTAAATGCACTTTTTACTGCTTATTAAGTAAAAAGAAAATGGAGATAAGAAATATTGTTTGACTGGGCATGGCATGTAGAAGTGGAGATCACGTGGTGGATATCCAAAGATATGTTGGACCATGTAGAAGTTTCAGACGACAATTGAGTTCAGGAACATTTCACAAAACAATAGGTAATTATTCTCAAAGATTGAGAGAAAAATAAATATGATAGAAAGCTCACCTGTTAATCTGTCAACTTACAGTGAACCAGAAGGAGACAGTTTGAAGCCACTCAGCTGAGCAGTGTAGTGTAAGTGCTGGTGGAAGATATTATGACCGACCATATGAGGAAGGTGTAAAGAAGTTGAGAAGAATGGAGAGAGAGTGCAACGTGATCACAGGCATAGAGGTTACGATTTCTGACATAGATTAGAGCCAATGTCAGTCAGTGTTGTGACAATAGTAGACACCTGATTGGAAAGTTGCAGGTGATAACACATAGTTTCCTCTCCATATTTTGTTTTTCCTATTCATTTGTGGGATGTGGGCATCGCTGGCTGGCCAGCATTTCTTGCCCATCCCTAGTTGCCTTTGAGAAGGTGGTGGTGAGCTGCCTTCTTGAACCGCTGCAGTCCTTCTGCTGTGGGTTGACCCACAATGCTATTAGGGAGGGAATTCCAGGATTTTGACCCAGCGACAGTGAAGGAACAGCGATATATTTCCAAGTCAGGATGGTGAGTGGTTTGGAGGGGAACTTGCAGGTGGTGGTGTTCCCATACATCTGCTGCCCTCGTCCTTCTAGATGGAAGTGATCGAGGGTTTGGAAGGTGCTGTCTGAGGATCTTTGGTGAACTTCTGCAGTGCATCTTGTAGATAATACACTCTGCTGCTGCTGAGCATCGGTGGTGGAGGGAGTGAATGCTTATGGATGTAGTGCCAATCAAGCGGGCTGCTTTATCCTGGATGGTGTCAAGCTTCTTGAGTGTTGTTGGGGATGCACTCATCCAGGCAAGTGGGGAGTATTCCATTACACTCCTGATTTGTACCTTGTAGATGGTGGACAGACTTTGTGGAGTCAGGAGTTGAGTTACCCGCCTCAGTATTCCAGCTTCTGGCCTGCTCTTGTAGCCAGTCTGTTAATGTGGTGAGTCCAGTTGAGTTTCTGGTCAATGGTAACCCCCAGG